TGAAAAGTTGTGCTGTAATTGTGTACAATGAATCTAAATGCATTCTGCTAATTATATATATATATATATAATTATTTTTTTAAAAAAAGAATGCATTCCTCAGTCTGTGTCATGTACTTCATAAAAGATCTTTTGTCTCAGCAGAAATTTATGGTCTATACGTAATTTACCAATTAGTAGTTTTATTAAAATTCATTCCTCATTTAGTTTAAAAATGGATTATGCCATCTCAAATCTAGGCAAACATGGGAGGAACTTTTTGGCAGTGCCTGTAAAAGATTTTCTCAAAATCCAATTTTACTTTTGATTCTTTAGACAGTACTAGAAATGATATGAACCCAAAATACAGCATGCCCCAAAGATTAGACAATCTCATTTTTTCATCAGGGACTCTATTCTTAGGGAAAGTGGTCCTTAACTTTGGTTTCATTTTTTTGGAAACTTTAAAATAGTAATTCCTGGATTCTACTCTGAGAAATGCTAATTTATACAATCTGGGATGTGGGAAGCTTTTAATTTGCAACCAAGATGGAGGTCATCATAGAAGAGGCTCAGTTTATGGGTCTCCCAAGTGGAGACCTGGGATTGGAGTCCCATACAGGAGGTAAAGCCAGAAGACCATGGATATAATGTTTTCTGGCTTCCTCTGTAATCCTAGGTAGTTTAAACTATTTCAATATTGTCATTAGTAGTATCTTACAGTATTCTTCACCTTGAGGTTATTTCTCAGCAGGATCTAGTTTTCAGAGGCTAAGATTGAAGTTCAATTGAGCTAAATTGAAAAGGATGTCAAGGTGACAGCACCTGGGATTAAGTGTGAGAAATACTTAAACTGTAACGAGCTATAACAATGTGAGATTCAGTTATTATGAATCATAACATTGACACGACACATGAGCCATACTGGACGAAAGTAGTTATTTGTATGACACAGCCTGCCTCAAAAATAACTCTTAATCAAATACACAAAAGTTGTCTGCTTTTATTTTGGAAGTGTTGGGATTTCATCATCCATCTCTCCTACTTGCTGGAAAATGAATGTCATTTTTTTTTTTTTTTAATGACTGGAAGTTCTACCCCTTCTGATGCCTACAGTATAAAGTAAAACAGAACCCTTCTGCAACACACTAATTACTAAGTTAACAGCGCAGACCTCTGCACACGAAGAATCATACCACATATGGTTTTGCTTTCTATTACATTCTCACACCTGGTAAGTATCTGGTTTGCTTACTTGTTAACTCTGCATGGTAACAAAAGTAACATAGGAAATCAGATACAAATGGAGAATTTACTGAAAAATAAATTTTAAAAAATTAGCAAGAAGCAGCCCATGAATTCAGCCCTATGAGAGCTAAGACTAGAAACCCTGCTCTCTCAGGGGTTCAGCCTGCATTCTGTTGGGTGCCTCCAGATCATCTCCTTCTCTGCATAGCTGTGGGTCCTGGTTTCTTGTCACTACTTAAACCCTTTTATGGAGTCATTTCCCCCAGCTTTGCTTGGGGCTGTTGGGCTTGTGCTTGGTACTGAGTCTCTAAAGCCACAGGACTGGTGTCACCATTCAACACCCCTATTTAAATACTCCTTTAGTTCCTCCTGTTTAGTCTGGCTCGTTGGGTGTTGCCCATAAAAACAGTTTGGCTTTTGTAATCACCATTAGAGCAGAGTGTGTGACTAATCGGTCACTTTGCTGCATCTCTGTTATCTTCCACCAAGTGAGTCAGTTTCAGCTTTGGCTTTTTGCTCATGTGTCACTCCCTTCTCTCTGATGTTCAAGTCCATATTTGTTCCTTTTTAAAAAAGCTTATTATTATTTTTTTTTCTCTACAAACACAGGCTAAATTGTCTCTCAAGAGTGGAACTAATTCCACAGAAATCTGGAAATTTTCAATAACGCTGACTCACTATGCAGAACTCCCAGGGCAAGAAAGTCCTTTGTTGTGTGCCGTGGGGGACTGGTACCAATCAGACAGTCACTTCAGGTCATCTTGCAGGTGTTGAATATTTACAATGTCCCAGGTGCTTTGCATTTATCATCCTATTAAAAATAAAACTTATGAATAAGAGTTGTAATGCATTCCGCTGTTATATAAATTTTTTTTAAAAAAGGGGAAAAAAGCTAAAAGAAGATAATAAAACCCACCACCCAAATCAAAATAAAAAATAAAAATGAAAAAATAAAACTTATAACAAAAAAAATTACAATGACAGTACAGAGTTCCCATGTATCCTACATCCAGTTTCCCTAATATTAAGATGTTACAGCATCATGATACCTTGTTGCAATTAACATAATGCTATAGTGATAATATACTACTATGGACACATTGTGATTAATTTTGATATTTCCTGTACTTGTTGCCCTGATTTTTGCCTATCATGTTTTTTTCTGTTCAAGATATGACATTACATTTAGTTATCATGCTTCCTTAGGCTCCTCCTGGTTGTGACAGATTCTCAGGTTGTTTGTTTGTTTGTTTTAATATTTATTTTTTAGTTGTAGATGGACACAATACCTTTATTTTATTTATTTATTTTTATGTGGTGCTGAGGATTGAACACAGGGCCCCGAGCCCTGTTTTTTTTTTTTTTCTTTTTCTTTTTCTTTTTGATACATTTGACAGTTTTGAGAAATACTAGTCAGGCATTGTGTAGGATATCCCTCAGTGAGATTTGTCTAGTGTTATTTGCCTGGGAGAAAGACCACAGTCGTAGAATGTCATGGTCATCACATCACACCAACATGACTTATCCTGTGGAGTTACCTTTGATCACCTGGCTGAGGAAATGCACGGCAGGTTTCTCTACTATAAAAATCACTGACACCGCACCCCTCCCCCTTCTATTCTGCATTTTTGGAAGGAAGTCACTACACAGCCCACACTGATTATAATATACCTCCTTGAAACAGGATATTTGCATAAATTATTTGAATTTCTTTAGTCACATTTATATCAGTATAAATGCAAAAAAAAAAATTAATACTTTGGGAGACAGTCCAACAATTCATTATTTATTTTCTTGCTCCAACTTTCCCAACTTTGGCCACTGGGAGCTCGTTCAGTTGGCTCTTGTCGCTTGGACATGCTCCCTCATTTTGGTGGTAGTAGGAGGGTGCACTCCCTTAATTTCTGGCTTACAACATGCTCCAGCTTCTTCTGGTGTATTCCTGCTCCACTCCCAGAATCAGCCATTTCTCCAAGGAGCCCAAGTGCTGGTCATTGGATGATGGTCTTACAAATCAAGATCCAAGCGCCAGGGATGGTTGTTCTTGCTGGGGTGTGTTCACTTCTCAGCTGAAGGAGAAAGGAAATATCTGAGCATGTGCTAACCCATGGATTTACACATATCCATAAATATTTTATCATAGTCATTAGCATCTATATTAAGCTAAACATAAACTCACAAGATGCCTCCAACTCTATCCATTACCACGTGGAACATTCTAGCCTCTCCCCCTTGCTCCAACAGTAAGAAATGTGACTCCCATCGTCCACCATCCGTTTATTTAATTGTTCAATTCCAGTAAACTCATTAGCAATATCAGAATTGTCCTTAACCCACGGGAAGCAACTTTATCTGCTGGACTCCTATTCCAGTGTTGAAGGGCATTATTCTGGATGACCATGAGCATGGTATCATTCTACAAATCTGATACCCAGCAGGAAGGAGAGATAAGAAATGATAGTGGTCTCCACACAGGATGCAGTGGAGTGGCAGGTCAGGGAAGGGAAAAGTGTCATGGTTCTATTTTGAATTTTAGCTCAATTGCTATGAAAAGGTCAGTTTTTTCCTCCCTTAAACTATAAGCTTTGGACCCAACACTTGTCTCCCTCTCTTCCTACCACACCACTCAGCCATCATTACCAGAAGTAGGTAGAGAAACCTTGGTGAGCTCACCAGAAACCATGAGTTGGGAGGACACAGCGGGGATATTTAGTGGAGATGCTGGCTGGCAAGATCAGCAGAGGGTGCTGACTGGTCTAAGATATTAATGCCACAAAAAAGAAAGAGTCATGGGAGAAGTGATGGGCTTTTACAGCTGGCCCTTCCTGAGGCCCCGTTGCACCTCCTACGTGTTCCCCTTAATTGGTCTTTTATGAAATCGATTGTCAGTGTGCTCTTTTCACCCCTGACAGTTGGCAATTCTAAAAAACAAACCGATGGCCACTTTCCTGGTCTGACCTAGGAAAGCATTATGCCGAATTTAGAAAAGAACAAGTAACCTCAACAGGGAAACACAAAAATCCTCCCAACATATTAGAAGATTGAGAGTGAGATTCTTGGGATGGGGGGGGGGGTACAGCGGAAGGAAAGGAAGTTTTGGAGACTCCGTCCCCTGGGTTTGAAACCCAGCTCTGCCACTTAAGAGCTACCTACGCAACCCTGGGCAAATTTTTTGTTGCTCTTTATATAAAATTGATATTAAGTTACTAAATATGACTCATTAAAATTGTTACATGATATGATTTTTCTCAATATTAGAAACAATACATGATAAAAAAAAAAACCATAGGATTTTATAGCACAAGAAATAAGGGCTTTCATGTAGGCAAATTCGTATATCATTTAGGAGGTGGAGGGATCCCGGGATAAAATGCTGGATATGTCAAAGCGGTCTTATAAAGGACAACCTCATAAAAGAAAGGAGGGAGAGGTGTCCACTATGTAACTGGAAATGGGAGGGTCTGTTAGACTAGAGGCCAAAGAGCTGTTCATAAGCACTGTACCCTAGTTGGCACTGGGATGTGAAACTTCCAGAAGTCTCTCTCTCTCTCTCTCTCTCTCTCTCTCTCTCTCTATCTATCTATCTATCTATCTGTGTGTGTGTGTGTGTGTGTGTGTTGTAGTTGGACACCATACCTTTATTTTATTCATTTTTATGAGGTGCTGAGGGCCTCGAATGCGCTCTACCACTGAGCCATAACCCCAGCTCCCAGAGTTGTCTTTAAAATGAGGGGGTGACCTCCTCAGCTCTTCCCTTCTTTTCCATTTCACAGAATGAGGACAGAATGCCTGGGGAGGCGCAGCCATCTTGGACCCCAGAGGGTAGAAGGCCAGGACTGAGGAGGATGAAACAAGAAGACAGAAGAATGTGTCTTCCTCTCCCAACCAGGAGATAACCATACCAGCCACGAGTACCTGAGATGAACACAAGCTTCTGCTTTGTTTGACTCACTCTTATTTTTGATTTTCTGTCACTCGCAGATGAATTTAATCTGCGTTAATACAGACTTTACTTATATCTCTTCCTTCCTGTCGTTTATCCCTCCTCTGACTCCTGCATCCCTCACAAAAATTAGGTCACATAACTTTTCATGATGTAAATCTCCCTGGGAGATGCTGTGAGTGTTCTGAAGCATCTAATTCTAGCCCATAAAAGGGGGGAGCACACAGTGAACATTCACAAAAAGATTGTGACCTTGTATGGAATAGTAACTAAATAGTAAGTGGCATAATTTGTATTTGTAAACTCAAAATGATGGATGTGCACCCCAACAGATTCAGGGGAGCCGTTTATTCATTCGTGGACTCAGGCACTGGAGAGACTCATTTTCTGGATGCAAAAATGACCATCAGTTACAGGGGGCATTTTAGTTTTATCGGGTACAGTTAGGGTAGTTTAATCATTGGAACCTGTGGATGGACGGACGGACGTGGGGTTCCGATAGTTAGGGGCTAGTTGTGTAGGTTAAAAGTTTAACTCAGGAAGGCAGCTGTAAAAAGGTTAAAACTCATTGTTACTTGGAGAGATGGGAGCCCAGATTTGGGGGGATGAGTACTTAAATTTTGCCCATTGTTTTTTTTCTCTAGGACTTAGGTCTCCAGAGTTTGTGCCTTTACAGTGTCTCCATTAAGGACCAATTTGCAATGGGGGAAGGTCAAAGTCCTTGAGCCCAGCATTCCTATCCACCTTCCTTTAGGGCCCATTGTTCTTGGGCAAGGATTTATCAGGAGGTTGATGCTTGAGACCACTCCCCTCCCTCCTCCGGAGCTGTACCTCTCTTTTCTTGGGGGTGGGGGGCTATTTTGTAGGAATATTATTTTCCATATGTCTTCAGTATTAACTCATCATCTTTATAACAGAGTTTTAAATGAGCCAAATAACAGTATAAATTTGGCTTTTATTTTCTTTATATCAAAGTCACACACTTGTCGACTTCAGGGAGAAATGGAAACAAGAAGAACCTGAACAAATGTAAAGCAACACAAGTTGCTTTGGGGGCTGGGGTTATGGCTCAGTGGTAGAGCACTAGCCTGGCATGCACGAGGCACTGGCTTCCATCCCCAACACCACATAAAAAACTAAATAGCACCCGTGCAATGGTGCATGCCTGTAATCCCAGTGGCTCTCCGGAGCCTGGGGCAGGAGGATCCCAAGTTCCAAGCCTTACAACAGCAAGGTGCTAAGCAACTCAGTGAGACCCTGTCTCTAAAGAAAATATAAAATAGGGTTGGGGTTGAGGCTCAGTGGTTGAGTGCCCCTGAGTTCAATCCCCAGTACCAAATAAATAAATAAGCAAGTAGCTTTGGTTTGGGGGCCATAAATGTTGAGTCTATAATAATGAAAACATTAAGAAAATAGTCATTCATTAGTGTTATGTTGTTTTCACTTTATTTCTACGAACAGTTACTACTCTCTCTTCTTCCCCAAATGTTGGTCTTTACACTGGATTTAGGAATCAAGATTACTGTCTGTAGAACAAGTAGATAAGGAAGATGGCAGTTAATAGTTGCTAGGTGTCCATTGTGAAACTGTTACCTAGCAACAGTTCCAGACCCCAGTTACAATTCAGAGGTGTGCTTGAGCCATATACTTGCGAGGTACTGTGTGGTTTTCAAATAAGAACTGCCTTTGGGGCACACTGCACTTTTGTCTGACACTCCACCGACCATCTGTTTTATTTGTGTTATCTCACTCTCTGACAAAGCAAATGGGCTTGCTGTGTTTACAGAAAACCACTCAGGTTGTAGGGGGAAAAAAAATCTGACAGTATATGGAACTAAAATAAAACATCTTTCAAAGTTCCAAGATGCCAGATAATGGCAACTATGTAATTCATAAATAGATTGAAACAAAGAAGAAACAAAGTCCACTTTTAAGTAAGAAAAGTAACCGTTTATTTAAACCCACAGAAGAAGTTGAAAGAGTTTGAAGTCAGTGTTACATAAAATAATTTTCACTAAAGTTAAATATTGTTCTAAGAGCACTTTAGCTGACCCAGCCTCCTGAGTTTACATCTCTTTATATTCAGTTCCAGGAAACTAAGACCAATACCTATAAAAGGAGGAATGTAGGATGTGTGACAGTGGTTGTGGCACTTGATATTTATATGCAGTCATTCAGCTGCCCCTTTATTGCCGTCCTCTTAAATCTCTCTCCTGTTTACACCTACTTTCTATCTGTACTTCAAAAACCATAACAGATAGTTCATTTGTAGCAGTTTCCCTTTTTAAAGGCTTTTCAGCTCTAATATCTCAAAAGGAAAGCTTCCCAATCAGGCTTAAAAGCACATGGTAATGCTAAATGTGTCATAAATGAGATTTCTACTAGAATTCAAGTTTAAGGGACTCTGATACTTTGTACACCAAGGTTCATAGCAGAATCATGCACAATATCCTAAAGTGAAAGCCCCCTGAGAGTTAGTGGTTAGATGACTGGATTGAAAAAAAAAAAAAAAGATAGTGGATGGGTGTGCATGCACACCTGTGAGCACTATGGAATACTATTCAACCCTGAAAAGGAATGGAATTTTGACACATGCTACAACATGGATGGATCTTGAAGACATTGTGCTAGGAGAAATAGGCCAGACATAAAAGGACAAACTGTATGGTTCCATTTATGAGAGGTACTAAGAGTAATCAAGTGCAGAGAGACAGAAAGTCGAGTGGGTGGTTGCCAGGGGCTGGAGAGAGGGGGTGATGGGGAGTTATTGTTTAACAATATAGAGTTTCAGTTTGGGAAGATGAGAGGGTTCTGGAGATAGGAGGTGGTGAATGCACATGATGATAATCAACCGTGCACCTAAAAAATAGTTCAATTGGTCAGTCTTAGTCAATCTTATGTCGTATATTTTACCACAGTAAAAGAAATCAAATGTAGTTATTTGATCCATACCAAATGTTGACAGTGCTCTGCTTCTTTCTTGTCTACAATGTCCTGTCCCATACCTAGGAAGAGATCATTACACAACAGGAGAGAAGAAACAGCTGTGTATATTGAACAGTATATCCCCAGGCGAACAGAAGAATGAGCCACAGTATCTAGAGAATTCTCGCTGGGAATTCTGATATTAGTTAAGCTACGTTTTTATTTATTATTTATCTAAATATCTATCTATCTATTTATTTATTTAGATATGGGGAGTGGGGTGGGGGATTGAACTCAGGGGCACTTAATTATTAAGCCACATCCCCAGCCCTTTTTATGTTTTATTTTGAGACAGGGATACTCTCTAAATTGCTCAAGGCCTTGCTAAATTGCTGAGGCTAACTTTGAACTTGAGATCCTCCTACCTCAGCCTCCTGAGCCACTGGGATTACAGGCCTGAGCCACTATGCCTAGAAAGCCACATTTTTAAAAAAATAAAGCAATGACTCTTTTGAGGAGCAAGGGGCTGTCAATATGTATTCTAAGAAATCTCTATTATATGGTTTATTACAGTCTTCTTCTTTCTATGGCCAGACATTTCATAAGTTTGCCCATGAATTAAACAAAATATATTTAATACTGAGCTAGACTTGAAATTATATTTTATTATTGCTTCCCCTAAACAGAACTTTCATAAGCCATAATATGGCTTTTATAATCGACCCTGTTCAGCAGAGTGATTACAATACTAAATTTGTTTGCTTTTTTCCATGTGTGGTAAGCCATTATATAGAGACACTGCTATTTTTATTATGGTGTCATGGGTTAATAATGATTGACTCCAAATAAAGATGAAATTAGACCTTTAGGCTATTCTGAGTCACAAACTTATAATATGTAATTTTTATAAAAGTTTCAATTCGTTTAATATATGATTTTAATCTTTTTATGTACATTTTCTGTAATGTTCTTCTCATTGCAAAAGCTAAGTATCTATTACAGAAAATCAGAAACTGCTTGGAGACCTAATAAAATCCCAGGAGCACACTAGTGCAAAGGCCATGCAGAATTACTACCTGAGAAGCACGGTAGGGTAGCACGCCTGGCGCTAACAGTGTCATGCCCATCATGTCTATTTGATGCACCCCACTTCCTCTAGTTCCTGACACCCCCCCCCCACCTTCTCGGTGGTGCGCCATCCTCTTTGAGGCTGATTCCTGTATAGAGAACACCAGGTTTCCTGCCTTCTGATTGGACATAACCCATGGAAGGACCAGCCCCACATCACCAGCATCCTGAAGGAGTAGCTACCCCAAAGGAATTTAGTATTTCCTTAGGAGGTCCCCCCAGAGAGCACACCTTGAAGCAACAACTAGAAAGCAAGTAATTTATTTGGGAGGTGATCCCAAGAAATAGTGACGGGGAAATGAGGAAGTGAAAGAGAGACAGCAAGAAACCAAAGGGTGTATTATCTACATTGAATCTCTTTGGGAATTTTGGGAATGGCAGTAATAGGTACCTGTGATGCAGTCCACTCCACTCCAAGGTGGAGGCATTGAGGGATTTAGCACCAATTTCCATCTGTCCTTGACTGAGAACTTGACAGAAAACCCAGAGTAGTGTAGGTGAAACATGTAAGGAATGCGTAACTACAGACTGGGTCAGGAGAACAAGAGAAGAACAGGGACAACCGCACAAGGAAGCTGTAAGTACTAAGAGCGCCCGTGAAAGCCAATTCCCGTGGAGTGGCATCGACAGTTCAGCAGGAGAAACCCGAGTGCTTTAGAGACAGAAGTGGAGATGAGATGGGCGTGGTAGCACATGCCTGTAATCCCAGTGGCTCCGGAGGCTGAAGTAGGAGGATCGTGAGTTCAAAGCCAGCCTCAACAACTTAGCGGGACACTTAGCAACTCAGCAAGACCTTGTCTCTAAATAAAATATTAAAACGGGCTGGGGATGTGGCTCAGTCATTAAGCACCCCTGGATTCAATCCTCAGTACCAAAAAAAAAAAAAAAAAAAAGTGGAGATGATGTATGCAGATGAGTCTTTGAAAAACTTGATTCTGAAAGGGAGGAGAGAAAGAAGGCTGTAACCAAAAGGCTGTGGGTTTAGAGCAATGTTTTTCAAACTGGGATCCTTGAAAGTATTC